GGGATAAACAGTTTTCCACACTTTCTCAAAGTTCAACAGCACTTGTCATAGAAAAGCTGCTTTCCTGAGCTTTAACAGAGTCAAGGCTCTGAATTCTACTGTTGCACTGAAATGAAATAAACACACACACACAAAAACATGGACTGTGGTAATTTTGTTTAATTCTTCAAAAGTCATTTCACATCCAAATGACTACAGCTCTTGGAGGCTTAAACAACCTGAAAATCCTGCAGCAGTTATTTGAAAATCCAAGGATTTAGGTTTCCAGTAATGTGTTGAAATGATGCTTTAATGTCAGTGTCAAACATATTTTTTTGATTGAACATTGAGGAAACAACTGGAGTGGACTAAAGTCCTTTACACATTAGCTAACATCAATCAATCACTGAACTCAATAAATAAGAATAAAGGCACAATACGAAAAATATTATGTATTTGGGTAGAAAACAAAAGAAAGAAGGAGCGTCTTAAGCAGAAAATAAAATTATTTTAGTATTTTACAGATTTGGGGCTTTCCAAATATATAACAATTTAATATTTTCCAACTCAAATGAAGTATGTCAGTTTTAAATAATGGATATTTTGGGATATTTTATAGCCTTTAAAGAAGAATAAACTAAACTGCTTTATTTGTACGACATTGTAAAAAATATCCTAAAAGTAAATAAAAAAAGCAAATAGGTTACAGTCTCTATCCAGGCCAAATATTTAACCTTTTCTGATTAAGGAGTACTTTACCATTCAGTATATTTAATGGCTTCTTTTACTATGATTGTGTGATTGTGTCCAAAAGACAAAAAGTGCTATGTGTGTGTAATTAATCTCTGTTACCAAAATATCTTGTGAACCACTGAACACATTTCAATGACTGACCCACAAACTAATCATTGGATGCACATCTACGGCTGATTAATGCTTCCAGCTAATTTGTTTCAAGATGGCTACCACGTAAAAAAAAAAAAAAAAAAAAAGGGTACTCCCTTCTTCAGGGGTCGGCCACAGCGATCTAACTCACATGAAGACTTGGCAATTGTTTTTATGCTGAATGCTCTTCCTGACGCAACCACAGACCACTGAGCTATCACAGCCCTCTGTGTGGAGCAGAGAGCTGCCATAGGGTGCCTCGGGGAGCAGAAGGTGGGGTTAAGGGCCTTCAAGGGCCCAGAGTGAGGCAAACGAGGGTGGAGGCAGGTGTGAATGTTTCATCTTTCACAGCCATATTTTGATGTTGTTTATCCAGGGGGAGCATTGACCATTAACTATGGTGACATTATTTTCATGAATGCCCCTGCCAGCTCCTTGCAGATGTTGGATGCTGTTTACCATGGCATGCTAAAATTAATAACTGGTTGTAACTACCATCACACTTTTTGTCCTTGGTTATCATTATCTACACGTAGGCTCTCGCACTGGTTCATTTTCATCTATAAAACCCTCCTTGGTCTGCTACCTTCTTATACCTCTACATGCCCCCTTTACATCAACGGCGAGTGCGTGGAGAGGGTTCACACTTTCAGATTTCTTGGTGTCCATATCTCTGCTGACCTAAACTGGAAAGAGAACACCACAGCGGTCATCAAGAAGGCTCAGCAGAGACTACACTTCTTAAGAGTCCTTAAGAAGCACAACTTGAACACAAAACTGCTGCTGACTTTCTACCACTCGTCCATTGAGAGCCTGCTGACATACTGCATTTCAGTATGGTACGGCAGCTGCACCCTGGCTGACAGGGAGAGGCTTCAGAGAGTAGTCAAGACAGCACAAAAGATAATTGGCTGCCCTCTCCCCTCCCTGATGGACATTTACACATCACGCTGCCTCAACAGAGCAGAAAACATAATCATAGACTGTTCACACCCGAGTTTTGAACTGTTTGACTTGTCAGGGAAACACTACAGGTGCATCAGAACAAGAACAAACAGATTCAAGAACAGTTTTTTCCCGAAAGCCATCACCACACTGAACTCACACATGCACTGATTTAATAATCTAACCTCCCAAACCCCTGGACTTCTACTGTGCAATACTACTGACATTTCATACTCTCAATCACATTAACTACCTCACTAATATCCATAATGTGCAATACAATTGTGTAATACTTGTATTTTTTTACTTTCATTATTATATCTATATTGCGTTACATTTTTTTTTATATTTTTAGTGTGTGTTTAATGTGTGTTTTCTTAAGGCGTGTTTTTGCACTGGAAAAAGGAGTGGCTCTTAATTTCATTGTACTGCGTATAATGACAATAAAGGCATTCTGATTCTGATGTCACGTCATCAGTGCAGTTACAACATGCGCTCTCAGGCCATCATTACCTGCAGCGTTCCCTCAGTGCAGACTGAACTTGGCAAAAAGGCCTTACTCTGCTCCTGCAACCTGGAACACAGGAAGTTGTCCACCTTAATTTCTTTAAGGGGTTTTAAGCATTTGATAATGTCAATAGAAAAATCAAAGCAAATATGTTCTTTTTTGTATTTCACACTGTTTTACGGCACCCTGATTTATTGTTTTATACACTACTCCTATTTTAACTGCATTTTTACTGTAGTTTATTGTTATTGTTGTCTATGTTCTGTCTGAAACAGGTCCCTCTTGTAGATGAGTCCTCTTGGATCAATGAGGCTAACCTGTATAAATAAAGGTAGAATTTATTTTTCATTCAACCTTTATTTATACAGGCTAGCCTCACTGAGCCACGGGGACTCATTTACAAGAGGGACTTGTTCCAGACATATAAAGTACAGACAACAAAAAAGTAAATGGTAAATGGACTGTACTTATAAAACACCTTTCTATCTTGTTTCAAGATACTCAAAGCGCTATACACTACAATCTGTGTCCTCATTTACCCATTCATACAGCACTCTCTACTAGATCTATACAAAGACTAATTGGACAAATCATTCTAATGAGACTAATCAGTGCTTTTAGATCACGTTCATACACCGATGGGACACACATCAGAGGCTGTGAGGGGTTCAGTGTATTGCCCAGAGACACTTCAGCATGTGACTGCTGGTGGATTCGAACCCCCAACTCTCGCATTGGAGGACGACTGCTTTAACCACTCAGCCACAGCCGCCCCTGTAGACAATGACAACAAACAAACTACAGTAAAAATGCAGGTAAAATAAGAGTAGTGTATAAAACAATAAATCAAGGTGCCGTAAAACAGGGTGAAATACTAAAAACAAGAACATATTTGCTTTGATTTTTCAACTGACATTATCAAATGTTTGAAAGCCCTTAAAGAAATCAAGGAGGGCAACTTCAGTTCCTGTGTTCCAGGTTGCAGGAGCAGAGTAGGAGAAGGTCTCTTTTGCTGAGTTCAGTCCGCACTGAGGGAATGCTGCAGGTAATGATGGCCTGAGCGCGCACGTTGTAACTGCACTGACGACGTGACACGTGGGAGGAGATATAAGATAATGAAGGAGGGGGTCAAACCTGTGACCTTCTGACCGCTTGCCTTCTCTAACCTCTGCACCACCACTTCCCAGAAATTTTACAGGTATTACCCTAAAATTGTATGCGGTTGCTGACAATCATGTACTACACGTGCTCTGAGGGAGTTGGTTTGACTTCAGGCTCAGTCGTTTCTCAACACAAGAGGCTCCGTGTCTAAACTCTGGCACAAAAAGCTGCGGGCGATAAGCATCTCTTCATGCAATGCAAGACTTTCAATAATATGTACGCTTTCACCTTGCGATGAAACCGTTTTTACGTTAAAAGGCCACACAATCTATCTGTAGCACACTTTTTTTGTTTCTGCCGTGACAGGCAGGGCGGTTTCTGTTCGTTCTGGCAGATCACGTGACTCGCATCCCTCTCGCGCAGCGGAGGGAGTGAGTCGCTCTTCCACACAAAAAGGGGGGTCGCGCGCTATGTTTATTTCGTTATTTCTTTCTCTCTTTTTGACGGATTGGTTTGGTTAGGGGGTGGGAAGAACTCAGCGTGGTTCGGAGTATCTCCCTTCACCTCTTGATTGAGTTTACGTGTCACAGCTGCGTTCATTCGCCTGGGTAATATTTATAACCGGCACAAAAATCGCTGGATTCCACGCGCAGGCGAGGGAGACAAACCCGGAAGTAAGATGCGTACTCTCAGCTTGTCACGTACGCTCACATAGAGGCTACTGTAGGTAAGAGAGGGGAAAGGAGCTTTAACAGGCTTTCCTGCCGTTATTACCACCGTATAAACACGTGTATTTTTATTTTAAGGACCTATTTTAACAGAACTATAAATAATTTGAACTATAATCTCATTTTTTTAAGCAGTAGGAGCCTTCAAGTTTGGTGATAATAGCAGACAAAGGCGAAATATTCAGTTCTAACGAATGCACTCGAAATATAACACAATTTTAAACACGAAAGCTTGTTTTTAAAGTAATGATAGCTCCAGTGTATATGTTTAGTCAGTGTTTTTGGTCATATTTGCGGTTAAAGTGAATTGTTTTAGGCCTTAGCTGTTCCCGAAACGTTTAAGATTATACCGTAAAAGCTGAATTTAAAAGTATGCATGTAATGTTGGCGCACGAGCGTGTGGCTGCGGATGATGGCGGTGATAAAAACACCCTTGCTATGCTTGGCATTTTGTTTTTTTGTGCCTTTTTTAAGATAAAATCAGAAGCGCGCGCACAGCACCGTTTGTTTTTAGACGGATTTAACGTGTGTTACTGTGGCAGGTGGTCCGCGCTCACACCGCTCACGCTATTTATAGCCTTAAATTGTCTCGTTTTACTCTCCGCAGATGTTGTGTGGAAATGCATGAAGTGGGAGAGATACACGCCAGAGGAGGATGAAAGTTGGAGCGCTCGGCTCCGCGGGAGAAAGCGGCGGCTCGGCTGGAAGATGAGGCGCGGACGTGAGGTACGTGCGCATCCGGCAGACATGAAATGGAGAGTTTGGGGCTGACGGACCTTTTGCAGCCCAGCTCTTTCTCGGAGCCGCAGGAGAGACAGAGGACGAGCGGCCAGCAGCGGTTCACCTCCTCTGGGCCGGTGGAGATCCACTACCAAGCGGACATGGGTCTGAACGGGTTCTGCGCGGTGCCTGCTGGGAGCCAGACGGCCGCGGAGCTGCTGGCGGACATGGCCTCTCAGACCAACTCACCCGGAATCACGACCCCAACGAAGCAGTCGAAAAGCGGCGTGCCGCCGCTCTACAGCGGCGGGCTGGTGCCCCCCTCTGCCACCGTGGAGGCGAACCAGGCCGGGGTGGTGGCTCAAACCCCGCAGGGATACCCCGTGAGGGTGGGCGGGCACCCCCTCACCCCCAGAGGCTGTCTGATGGAAAACGGGGACAGGATGGTGCAGGAGAGCTGCTCTTTGTCAACGAGGAGGTTCAACGGTGACCTGAAGGTCAGACAGGCTCAGCAGCAGAAGAGGAGGTGTGGGGAAAACCGGGATGTTGGGTCAGAGATTCACAACGGCCACATGATGGGGTCACCCGGGTTAGGCAGCTCTGGAGACCCGGTTTTCTCCTCAGGGGACTTGGACTCGAAGAGGAGGAAGCTGACAGACAAGTCGTCAGAGGGGCCCAGAGTGACCCGAGGAGTCCCCCCACTCACGGTCACTGTTAGCAGTGGAGTTTCTTCTCATGCTAACCAGCACAATGGACATTATGTGGCACCCCCAGACTCACCAGCAGCACCCATCCTGATTAACCCCACCCTGGCACCACAGCCCGCTGCAGGAGGCTCTGGCTTGTCCTCCGAGTGCATCGCCAAGCAATACATCATCCCCTGCATGAAGTACTATGGCATCTGCGTGAAGGACAACTTCCTCGGGACGCAGTTGGGCGACAGGGTCCTCGAGGAGGTGGAGGTTCTGAACAGCAGTGGGAAGTTTCGGGGAGGGCAGCTGGTGAGCCAGAAGAGCATTCCCTCTCAGAACATTCGTGGGGACCAGATTGCATGGGTGGAGGGGCAGGAGCCCGGATGCCAGGGTATCGGGGCACTGATGGCCCACATCGATGAGGTGGTCATGCACAGCGCTGCCAATGGACAGCTGGGAAACTGCGTCATCAACGGACGCACTAAGGTGAGAACGGCTTCAGGATGATGGGGGGGTGGGGGTGTTATCCAACAACATATCTGGGTAAACACAGTCTGCAGGTAACCTTCAGTATGAGCGTCTGTCTAATGACGTCAGTGAAGCCGTGGCTTATTGGTTGTGTCTTTTCTGCTCCGCTTATCTTTGCATCTGTAATGCCGACATGTGGGCAGACACACACACACACAACACAGGTAGCGTGTCAGGAGAAGCCATGTGATTTTCCGGCACATGGAGGAGTGAGGGGAGGCCGCTTCCCCTGTTCGTGCCTTCATACCACTGGTACCTAAAGAAAACTCTGAAGCCATATCTCCACTGCCATCACTTTATCTCTGCCAGCATTTTCTACCATCACTTTGACCACACAAACGTGACGCTGGCACAGTAGAAAGGAGTTCTTCATGTTTATTTCCACTCCCTTTATCAGATCTCGCATATCACGTGACCTGTGTGGAAAAAAACATCGCATTAGAGTTAAAATCAAAACAAATAAACCCGTAGCTGTAACTTTGTTTTACATTCTGTTTGTCTCTGTGTTTGTTTAGCAACATGATCTGTCACAATGAGTTTTGCAGGATTTGGTGTCAGTTCTGTTTGATAGTCTGATTTACTATGTAACATATTCAGACAACGCACAGCAGATTTGTTTATAAAAGGCTTTGACACAAAAAAAGACGCTAAACTGACGCCAAATCTTAGCTTTGGATAGTTTTCCACATGGCAAACAACTGTTATGTCTCATGTGAAAAATATATGTATGAGAGCTCGTCACATAAGAAGTAGGTATATTATCACTCCTCAAGGAGAAATGAGTTGAAAGGCAGTGCCTGAAATCTGCCTTACATGTGCACTTACGGCTTAATAGACAAGACCAACGATGGCACCTTTAAGTTGCTGATAAGAAATGTGCACAAACAGCAGCTGTAGTGCAAAGTACATTACTGTCAAGTGTATTTATATATTTTTACCTGGAGTCTCTGGACCAGATTGAACTTTTTTGGATTTACCTGGAGTCCTATTTCTCTATTTATTCATTTACAGCAGTCTGAAAATTTCCATCTTTTCTTAATCTAATGACTCCACGGCTTCACTCACCCCATTAACCTAAGATACCGTGCCCTCAGTGCACATCTGATCAATTTGCACAATCTTGACCCTGTGTTTAAACAAAAATCGCATCAGTGACTTTTGCTCCCTTTGACTTGGGATTGACAGTGCTTTTTCTAGATTTACCTGTAATTCATGGTAGGTATGGAGAGGGGAAATGAAGTTTATTAATGTATTTTTATTTAATAGTTAAAAACATCGTCCTGTGTTTGGATAATTACATATGAGCATAAAGTGCTCCGGTTATGAAAGAGAATAAAAATCGATTTTATCTTTGAAATCAACACTTGATAAATGTCATTCGTTTAACTTTGTAGACCTTTTTTAAATGAAAGACCTAGCAATATTGAAGGAATGCAATGTAGCTCAATATTTTTAAAACAGTTATGGAGTTATCTTTAGGGAGTTCCATTTTATCAGGTCTCAAAAGTACACACAAAATTAGTATTCTGCAGTATATCAAAGGATTACAGGACCTTCTTGTGATGCTTTTGTATCCCTTTCCTTCTAATTTATTCATTTTTTCAAGGTAATACTTGATTAACTCTTGTAAAGATGTTGCTTTTGTCTGTGGTACAGACTGTTCTGGCCGGGTGTTTCCGTTGACGAGTACCGAACACAGTGTAGCAATAGGTAGAGTAATGGCGTGTGCATGACAGGAAGTCGTTAGAAAGGAAAAAGAGGAGAATCTGGCTGGAGTAGAAGCCAGCTAAGTAAAAGGTCACTGCAGTATTTCCATCCACCCATTTTTCTATTATCCACTCGATACAATCACTCTTACTTGTTTTTGACTTCTTTGAATTTTGACCTCTTTTCCGCCGTTTACTTCACTCCCTTTCGCCGTCATTTTATCAAATGTTTGCAAAATATTTTCCTGCCGTTACCTTGGTAACAGGCTCATACAGCGCAGAGAGCTGGGTTGTGCTTGGCAGTGCCCTGAATGGTGCCTCGCCAGCAGTTTGTGGCATTTTCAGGAGTGGTGGTTTTCATTCTCAGAGACATGCAGCGCCAAGGGTCGAGTGTTAACAGAAGGCACCTAACACGACCCAGGACGATGCTGGGAAAGTCTTGTATTATGGGGAAAAAAGGAGCAACTTTTTACCGAAAGTCTGGTATGAGAAGTTGGGCCGGGATTAGACTGGAAGTGAGAGTGGAGGGAGGTGAAAAGAAGTGATGCAGTCTAATCTTCAGCATTATGTCAGATGCTGCAGTGCGCACTTGGATGCCCCCCTACACCACCACACACACACACACCCACACCCTCTTTAAAGCCTAGTAGGGCTGCCATGCAGGCTGCAGCTAAAATTCACACTCCAGAGCTGCTCGCTAACTTGTACAGATGGGTCATTCTGAACGTACACAGACGCTGCTTGAAAACTGGGATCATTGTCATGAGTTTGTTTATTCAGAAATACCATCGGTGGTGGTGTGCTAACCAAATGTTTGGAGTCCATGTAAGCATGGGACAGATGCACCACCATGCTTTATTTATGGTTTATAAAGGATTAATGAGGCTGAGAAAACCGCTTTATGATTTTGCCACTGTTGGAAAATTTATGAGGTGTTACAAATCAATCCATTTTCTGTGTCCTGTCGGGGTGTGGGAGTTAAAAGGTCTGGGATGGCTCGTCATTCCACCACAGGACCAACAGTGAAACTAACTTGGTGACTTCAAAAGAAGGCAAATTGACTTCTTTTTTTGGTTCCTGAAGGTATTCTGTTGGGAGTTTTTTGTACTGGTAGTTCTGAAGAAACCTTTTGAATAAGAACTGAAAAGTCTTCAAGAACAACAAAAAAAGAGTTCACTTGCCTTCTGTTTCAGCACGTAATACTACAACAGCTAGATTATAAGGCAGTGTAGAAAACTAAAAACAGGAACATGTCTGCGTTGGTTTTTGCCATGAACTCAACAGATTCTTAAAGCCACTTAGAGAGGTCAAGGTCGAGAGCTTCAGATCTTTTTGCAAGATGTTCCAGGGAACAGGAGCGGAGTAGGAGAAGGCCCTTTTGCCAAGTTCAGTCTTTACTGAGTGGACAATGCATGTAATGTCTTGGGGGCGCACGCTGTAGCTGCACTCACGCAGAGACATGTAGGAGGAGATGTATGAAGGCAGCAGACCAAGAAGTGATTTAAAGATGAAAATGTACCAGTGGGAGACTCTGGAACACTTACGCTATATTTATTTTAGTATTTATATATATTTTAAGGCTTTATAAACCCTTTCCACACTTGCAATGTTCTAAACTCTTAACCTATGTAATTTTAACAACATATGCATATGTATTGTACAGTACTGCAAAATTTTAGATGGGTACTCGCCAGCCTTGGTCTGGTTCTGGTCCGGTTCTGGTCCGGTTCTGATCGGCTCTCTGCAGCCGTTGAGCACCAAGACGCTTTTGAGAGACTTCCTGGGCCGGCAAGCAGCACTCATATTGACCAATGAGGCTGGAAGCAATTCCTGGTAAATTCTGCACAGCTCTCTGCATCCACTGAGCGCCGAAGTCACTATGAATAAGGACCAAACTTTTTTGTCAGGTTCAGATCGGATCAAAACTTTCCGTCCATTTCGACAGAAAGCAGCATCAAGAAGCACTGTTTGCTTCTGGGTATTGTAGTTCTTTTTTACTTGCGTTACGGTATAGCCACATATAACCACAAATGGCGGCGCCTGTCCAAAGTGTTTTTTTTTCGTTAACTTTTTATCCCATACTGTCCCAATTACGTGGGTAATAGTAAAGCTGACAATCGTTGAAAAACCACGAAAGAGCAAGTCCGCAAAAGTCGAACCGCGAAGTAGCGAGGGACTACTAATATGTTAGTATTAACTAATATAATGAACCTCTTTTTTCTGTTTGGTGTTTACAGTTGTATGTTATGCTCAACTTTAGGTGTGTATAAAGTCTAAATTACATCTTGTAATGTTTTTGCCACTATGGTATTTTTACAGAAAATCCTAGTGTGTTATGGAGAAACAAACAATGATGCAGGCTTCTTCTAATGTTCCACCGTGACTCACCCGTGCGTCACTGTGGTCATAGTGACACTCACTCATCTGGGCAGAATATAGTTTATCATCTTTTTTGTACTTTGTTTGCCAGAAAAACAACAGCTGTTGTGAATATGGGACATGCCGTGAAGTTTGTTTTGATTTTGCAGTTCTTGATTATCTCATGTTAAAGGCACAGGAGGAGTATTCTCACCAAATATGATGAGTGGCAAAAACAGCAAGCTCTGATTTGAGTGGCGAAGTATCTTGTGCACAATTTTATATCTTTGCACACGCACACACACAGTGCCGCCTTAAGTAAGGGTTGAAAGTTTGAGAAGTGAAACGAAGCAAAACAAAAAGGGCAGCCAAACACAGATCAGTTTTCTTTGAGCGTCTGAATCAGCCGTGCAATCTTAGCCATTTCAGGGTCACTCCAGCTGATAATTATATAATTTTCCCAGTGATTTCCATTTCCTTCAACCAAGAAATGTTTTAGCTGTTAGCAAAAGTTTTCAAAACATCAACATAGCTGAACAACATGAGTCAGGAGAGTCTGCACAGAGACAATACAAACTGCAGGTTCTGTTCACACATGGTCACTTTGTTCAGTTTGGTTTAAAATAAAAAAATATAACTAATTTCTGCCCTGTTCTGTGCATTTCTCGTGAGTAATCAGATCTGGGCATTAGGCAGTGTGGGCGTTCAGCCGTTGAGATGTTTTTATTTAGTATGATGACACATACATTAACTCTTGACTAAATAAATCTTATTTGCAGGGACACTTCCTCAGATTTTTCAGTTACAGCCACTACTACAACAACATTATGAATATGTCATCATTTGTAATGATCATTCTGCATTTTGTCTGCACTTGCCTTTTTAAAATCATAA